GACTGACCGTACTTTGGCATGTGGAACAGCACCTACCATATCAACTCGATCTTGGAGAGAGTGCTTTTCCCTCATCTCTTCCAGCCGAACTCTCTTTGGTCCATCTCCTCCAACAATAAAACGAACCTTGAAATATGTTTCTAGATGAGATGAATGAGTTCAAAATATACATAGAAATGTGGTCCCTTTTACATAATTAATAGAAATTCCAGAATCTTTAACAAACATTCCCCCCCCCCAAAAAAAAAAAAAACAACACACACGCACAAAAAAAACACAATTTAACGGACTTTGATATATGTCTAGATGAGATGAATGAGTTCAAAAGATATATAGAAACGGGGTATCATTTACACAATTCATATAAATTCCAAGATCTTTAACACCCCGGGAGGTGGGGGTGTTACAAAAGAAAGTAGAATAAGAAAACAAAATCATTGATAGACGTTCCACTAGTGCTGGGCACACATAGGACAGCAAACCCTGTTCCAAAGCAATGTTTTCGTCATGTCGAGAGCCCAAACACTTATGTCGCATTCAGTAACTATGAGGTCTGTGCACAGACCTACCTCTACAAGCAGGTTCTTCCCAAATTTGTATTATGACATGAAAATGAACTAGAACAGACCTACTCAATCTCAATTATTACCATATGCAATTTAGGACTATGCACAGTAGCAATTACATTGAACAAAGAAATCAATTGTCAATGCAGTATCTCTCAGCCAAAACAACTGATAAACCAAAACTATCACCCAAAACTTTGGAGTAAAGTCATTAAATCACAGTGGTTCAAGTGCACATCTAATAGAGGTTGCAGGGTCAGGCGTTAGAGTCTCATTGCCAACACTCTGTGTCTGTGTCTGTGTGTGTATGTGTTTTGGTTGGGAGGAGAGGGGGAGAGAGAGAGAGCATATCAGTTGATATATTTTTACCTAAATAATTTTTCGGGATGCTATCATTATTGGCATAATACCAAAGGCATATGAAAAATTAACTGGAAATTCTGTAGTACTGAAGCTTTAATCAATTGAATTAATACCCCTCTGATGCACCTTTAAATATCTACCAGCAAGTGAATAGGCAATGCCATAAATGCATTGCATAAAGGTATCTGAAAGATGGATTGAACCTTGGACATATAATAGTTCCGAATCAAATCTCTTTAGAAAGAAGATCGTTTGTCTCATGGTAGCCTGCTCCAGTCTCCTTACGAAATTTTCGTTATTGAGTTAGCCATACACTTCACATGTTTCTAGCAATTCACATGGCATCATCAACCCCAAAAGTTGCCAAACATGGAAGGCTCAAAAATAGGACCCCTGAATGAAAACTTAGATAAACACTAAAATGGTCCAAAAGACTCACATTTTGATACAGGCGACATACTTCAGGTATAACTTCAACAAGCAGATCTGCACCCTTCCGATAAACCAATCTACTTATCACAACTATAACAATTTCATCACTGCTGAGTCGCTCTGGAGCAGGCTTGAACATCGCTGTGTCGACAGCATTTGGTATAACAAAAACCTTTTCTGGTGGCAGTCCTGACCTTAGAACTGTGTTCTCTTTACTTGTATGAGAAACACAAATGGCCTGGCTAACATCTGCTAGAGTGAATTGCAATACCTTGTTCATGTGAATGCTCCCCACATCAGCAAAACCATAAAGTGAATGATCAGTAAATACAACTCTGTATCCCATAGTGCGTGCATGCATCAGAGCCTCATGACAAAGAGTTGAGAAGGCTTGATGTCCATGCACCAAAGATATCTTTTCCCGAACAAGAATTGTCCTTACAATTGGAAGTGTCCCATAAAAAGTGGGCAATGTGTTCTGCATAAGAAATGGTTTCCACGGTATATAGTAAACTTTCAGGCCACCAGTCATGTACCTCACCCCAGAACGGTTTTCATAAGCATGAGTCATGACCACGACCTGAAAATTCAGTTGATCAAGTCCATTTAAACATAAGTACAATGGGCATGAATCTGATGCATAAGATGATGAACTCTTAAGCAAAAGGAAATTTTCACAAAACTATTAGCTAGTAAGAAGCTATGTCCTTTCCAAATAGTCCACTAATGGGAAAATTCTCTGGATTAAGAAAGGAGGGGGAGGGGGTGGGGGTTGTTCTTTCCTGAACTTCTATTCAAACTATCTCAACTAAAAGAAGACTATTTTTTTTGTATTGTCTTTCCTTTCTACCAATACCAGTTGCATTTTTTTTTTAACCAATACCAGTTGCATACTGATGCCTAAATGATAACAAATTTAACATGTTCTCTAACCTTGTGTCCTAGCTTAAGTAAGCATTGCGATAGGTAATAAATGTGATTCTCCACACCACCAAAGTTGGGATAAAAAAAATCAGACACCATCAAAATTCTGAGTTTTTCCTGATCAGACATGAGGTCTGATATCTCAATCCCTGCAAGTAAGATAAAACTCCTGTATGGGTTAAGAATATATAACCACAAACACAACATGATGACAAAGGGAACAAAACAATATAGAACCAAAAACAACCTAAGAAAACAATTGCCAACCAATCATATTGTATTTGAAAAGTGTACCTGACAAATGAGTTTCATGCCTTTAATCACCTTTTTTTTGGCAACAAAAATGGGATAAAAAAGAAACAGTAAAAAAACAAGGAAAAATCCAGAAAGAAAAAGAAAGCACAATATCCAAACAGATGCTTAATGAGAAAAAAACCCCATTCAGCTTAGTAAGTTGTTTTCTAGTATCAGCTTTTTGAGTCACATGCAAACCAATTCAAATACCTTACACATAACTAGATCCCCAAACTACAACATTGATTTGTCTCTAGGAGATCTCAAACTAAATACACGAGTAGTGTTTCTGATAGCCACATCATGGAACTACAGGTTTGCTATCCCATGCCTCTCTCGCTTCAAGTAAATGCGGACAATATCGCTTTGCTAGAATATCAACTTGTTCAGCAAATGATTTGTTCCCTTGGTGGCCAATGTGTAGAACCATTTGATCCCAACGCTTCCGACATACATCTCCAGATCTGTGGTCAGGAAGATCATCCCAGTACACATCTTCTGTGCAGCATGCATCAAACTTAAAAAGTACATCAAGCGGGCGATAGTCTTCAGTGTCAGCCCACATGCCTTCAGCTACCAGATATGATGTTTATTGTTTGTACCATTTTCTACATCAAATTGCACCGGGTCTAGTGGATAATTTGTCACTAATTGAACCCCAACAAATATTATCTCATTTGCATATCCGAATTCACTAAATCAAATAAAGTCTGGTACTCCTCCTGGGACCAATGTCCTTTCTTCATGTTAATTAATTTTATGCTGCACTATGTACCCTTCATGTGAACAATATGTTTGCCAAGTTCATCAGCCAATGACTTCCAATCATTCCCATGCTTTTCCTGGTACTTGCGGATAAGCTCATACTCTTCTTTAGTCCATTTATATTTCTCACCCCTTACAAACAAAATATGGGGGTGATAAATGGCAGAATAAGGTCTGTGAGGTAAGGCAGCTCCAATTTTTTTCCAACAGTTTTTTATTTCGGGGTTGCGAGCTAGAGTGCATAACCATGTTCAGACCTTTTCACCCAAGCCATGTACCTCAATATAGTTAATAACAGCCTCTTTAACTTTAACGATTTAATCTTCTTCTCCTGAAAACCTCTTACCTCGTACTAAGTTGTCTTCCCAGGTTTTTCCCTTCCCAGTACTTGGAACATCTGACAAAGGTTAATTTCCACATGATCAGAAAACCTAACTTTCTTCAATTTTCTTTTACCTTTGGGATTTTCGAAACCACTTTCAACTTCTTTGCCCTTCTTCCTCGTGCAAATATTATCCTTTTTGGCCTCACTGTCCTGTGTTTTATTTTTTTTTCTTCTCCCTCTTCCTCTTCTTTGATTCAAAATTCCCTTCAACATTATAATAGTCACCCATTGATTTTCTAACTTCTTTACCATCTTGGGCTTTTCTTTTCCCCGCAACTTCACAATCCTCATTATCCTTTCTCCATTTTTTCTTCTTTCTTTTAGTAACCCATTCTTTCCATTCTTCTTTTTAATGATATCTTCTTTCTCAGAGCTTCTGTGCCCCTTAACTCCCTCATCTTTACCTGTAATCTCATTTTCAAGAATTTTCACGGAAGATGAAACAGTAACACTTCCATTTTGCTTTCTCTTCTCCTCATGCTTCTTTCTTTTGTCTTTTCTTGGCTTGAACTCGATATCACTCTCTAAATTTATGCAAGCATTTGTTTCCAAGCTCCTATTCCCTTCTTCTTCTACAGTTGTCGTTTCATCCAAGATGTTTTTATTTCCACCAGATTCCAATTTTCTCTTCTTCTTTTCCTTCTTCTGATATTTGCCATTCTGTAGATCACCATCGCCTAGCACAGAATCCTTCCTATTTATAGCTTCATCATGGAAACCATTAAGTGAAATATCACCACCACCCTCATGTTTCATCTTTTTCTTATCTACTTTGATCAATCTGATATTACTTTCCAAACCCGTAGTTGCCACATCTATGCAGTCAATTACCTCTTCACTGGATTCTAATTTTCTATTCTTCTTCTTATCCTTTCTCTAATTTTTTCTCTATTTGAAAATCACCATCCACTTTCATACAACCCTTACAATTTACAGCTTCCTCATATATACCATCAAGTTCAACAACACCACCAACCTCACGTGTCTTCGTGTTTTCTTTCCCTTATCTTTCTCTCGCCATTTCAAATTATTTTCCACCCCCGTGGAAACTGTGCAGTTCATTACTTTTACCAATTCTTTTCTTTTATTGGACTTCTTCCCATCTTTGAAGCACGACCTCCTCTACTACTCTCAAGTCTATGCTCGGGTTAAACCTCAGTCAGGTTTGTGCACCAGTTATTTCTGCAGATAAGAAAAACCATATAGATGTATCAAAAGAACAATGGTGGAATGGAAGCCTCTTCATACAATGAATGGAACACTCATAAAAAAACAGTAATTATCACCCCCTCCTCCAACAAGTTTGTTTTTCTCCTTATTTTGCCTAACCCCGATATTAAACACCATAAAACCGAGAGCATCCATTCACGGTTCTGACATTGTAAGCTATAATCCCCTCATTCCATAACTTTATATCCCTTTCTTTTTGCAGAAACAGATTTACTTCTTGAATCCTATAACTTTTTATCTTGCACTCTATAGAATTGCAACATTAACTTTAGAAAATAAAAGCTCATACCAAACTTATTCCTTAAATCCATAGGCTCAATATCATTACTTTTCTTATACTAGAACGAGCTCACTCAACACCCAAATTAAGGTTATTCCAGACCAGAGTAACCCTGGAATATTTGAGGCCTTATGTCACCACAAAAGGCATAAATCTGAAAAAAATGCTAACAAATATCTTCCTGAAAAAAATATATTCATTAGAGAAGATAGAGAGATGTAAAACTGCATATAACTATACAGGTTATGTAACTACTAACTAGGTTAAGCGAGACAGAATTCAAAACTTGCAGCCACTTCCAGGAGAAAATATTGGATATAACGATTACACCATATCAGCAATACCACTACTAGAAAAATACACAGAAATGTGAACAGGAAGTTGAACCGAGAGAGAGAGAGAGAGAGAGAGAGACTTGCAGTTACAATACAGAGAGACTTGCAGTTACAGAGAGAGATCGTGGAGAAGGAGTCCCTATGCAAGACCGAAGCTGGACCAGATCCGCTGCCTGTTCGTGCGTCACTGCGAAGTGGCGAGAAGACCCGAGAAGTGGAGATTCAGAAATCATCACACCGATCGAATTCAACTAGGGCAAAACTGAACCGATTTAGGGCAAAAAAAAGGGAATTTTTGTTTTTATATTATACTTTTCACCTGAACCGTCCGGTTTGAAACAAACCATCTGGTTCACTGATTCTGATAATTGTACAACTGGTCTACTGGTCTAACATCGGTTTAAGCCCCAATTCATCGGTCTACCAGTCCGATTCTGATAATTGTTGGGAGCGAAAGAAATCTGATTTTTAAGGCACAAATTATATTTTTATAACGGAAAGTCAACCTGGCAGAATTTGCTAAACACGCTCGGTTTGTATAGTTTTGATGAAAAACCTTTGGATTAAACAATTTTTGGAGGGATTTTATTCTTAATCGATCCAAATACTAAGTCAATCCAGTCTAGACACCGGGTTGAGCAATAAATCTAATAGTACTCTATAAAATAAAAAGCATCTTTCATAATAAGATTTTTTATTTTTATCAATTTATTATTTTATGTTTTGTTCTTTTTATGAATAAATTTGACTTCTGTCCTTTTTTCGCTCATTTTTTTTCATATCGATAGATATTATATTTTCAATGGGATAATCTCAAATTACATCTCAAAAAATCATTCAAATATCAATTTATACCTTCAAAGATAAAAAATTTTAATTTACACCTTTAAAGATAGAAATTTGTTGCGCTCTTTAAGTTAACCGTCAATTTACCGTTTAAAACTAAATAGATAATTTATACCTAGACCTCCTCATATTTGTCACTTAATCATTTAGATCCCTTACATTTGAAATATTATACCCACTTCCCTTTAAAATTCAAATGTGACTAAAAATGTTTCTCTAATTGAGCATTCACATAATTCTATTTAGGTGATGTATTGTATCGAATATCAAGAATATTATATAAATACCTGCACTATATTGGGTATTCAAATGATAAGCTTAATTTTAAATTTTAGAATATAACGGACTTACAAAATAAATGGTAGTATGAAAATTATATTTTTTTATTATAATGAAATCATATTTTTTAATAGCTATATTAACAGATATCAAGGACAATGGATTATTTGTTACACATGCACAAACATTAGGAGGTATAGGAGTAATATTCTAAATGTGAAGAGATCTAAATGATTAAGTGACAAATATGAGGAATTTAGGTGTAATTTATTTATTTAGTTTTAAACGGTAAACTGACCGCATTTAATTTCAAGTAGAAGTGACAAATGGGTGGGTGGGTTGGGTTAAATTGGATTGAGTTAAAATAAATTTAATTTATTTTTCACTTATGTAATAAATGAGTTATAATGAATTGAGTTTATAACGAGTTGAGTTAAATCGATTTAACCCATAAAATAATTAAAATTCTTAATAGAAATATTAGTACACAAAAATATACACACATTAGTAGTACACTAAAATACAAATATATACACACTAATACACCAAAACACACACAAACTAATACACTAAAAATATACATAATACACTAAAATACACAAAAAAAAAAAAAAAACTAAAACACATTTAATAAAAAAAAATACACACATAATTGGTTGGGATCAATTGTGAGCTATCAGTTGATCAGTGGGTCATGGACGCACGAGTCATGGGTCAATATATGGGTGGACCAGTGGGGTCATAGGTAGTGTATTAGTATGTGTATTTTTTGTAAAACCCAAGCATACATGCATAATACGTGGATAAAAAAAATTAATAAAATATTTTTATAGTGCATGTTTTAATATACATGAAAAAAAAATTAAATTAAAGATTAAATTAATTTTTGGATTCAAGGTATTTATAGAAATACCATTGCATGACATTTCTTCCAAGCAGTTGCCTAGCAGCAGGAGGCTCCATGTCTCTCTCCAACACTCTGGAAGGTTTGAGGAGGTGTTGAAGACTTCTTTCATATCCTAAATGGATAGAATTCATTTTGTAGAGACAAAAACATAAGAGACAAAGTAGAGAGAGAAAACCTTCATTTTAATTTTTGAGTTTGCTTTGGAGGCTTATTCGATCATTCAAAGGTATACTTCTAGTCTAGTTTGGATGCTAGGAATTCATTGGTATTGTTAATTTTTGATTTGGGTAAGTGGTTGTGCTCGAATTTGAGTTTTAAAGTTTCGGATTTTAAGTTTTCATGAAATGAGTCTCGTAGAATACGAGCCTTTCTTTTTCAATGGAGTCTTGAGTTGTATTTTTGAGTTGTTGTAAAGTTGTTTGGTAGTGGTTTTACGGGTTGCCGTGGTGTGTGGTGATGGGATGAAAAAATCGTCATGGGTTTGAATTTTTAAAAATTTAATTTTTGATAAACTTGATTAAGTTTTGAAAGGGGCCTGAGTCTAGCTAATTTAGGATCAAAGAATCCATTTTTGGCCTTGGAATTAGATTTAGATGTCATTTTGGGGCTAAAACGGGTAGTTGCAGGTCTACCTTTGTGTGTTAAAAAATGATTTTTTGGCTAACTTTGATCAATAATTTGATGATGTTAGAGTTAAATTCGAAAGTTGATTCTAGGGGGGGGGATTAAAACTAGGTTGTTCAAAGAGTATGTGGGCATTGAAATCAAAGAAAATAGTGTACTATAGTGGGAGAACTTTGGGGTTAAAGTGGGGTGGTTGAGCAGAAAATTATGTACTTAGGACAAAAGTCAAACTAATTAAAGATTGAAGATGAAGTGGGGTGGGGGACAGTAGTGGACTCCGACGAAAATTTTGGGCACGTACAACCTCTGATTCATGCCAAAAGTTCCGTAACGTCCTTGCAGAGGTCTTGGTACATATTTAAGTATATCCAACGGTCGAATCAAAATGAGGATTAAAATGACTGTTTTGGTCTCTAGGGTCAATTTGACCTAATTTTTGAGTATTTTTGGAAAATAAATCTTATATTCATTCTTAGGTAGGTAAGTTGAGTATGTGTATGAAATTTCATTAAAAAATAATTTCGTTTTATTTTTGGCTATTTCGGATCAAAAATCAGTGCATGGTATGATTTCTCAATTCCGAATTAATTGAAGTTTTTCAAATTCATTTTGAAATCATGTCTTATATTATTTATGAATGTTTAGCATATTTTAAAACTTATAATTGAATTTTTGAATTAGGGCTGAAAATCACGGATCCGAACTATAGTTTTGAGTGCGATAACATACAGTGGTCCGAAACAATGGTTTTGATTATATAAAATGAGATTGCAGAATCCTTTTAAAATAATTGTAAGTGCACATAGATTGAGTGGCAAAAAAAGTTTACATTCTAGTTTAAGGTTATAAAAGGTACTCATTGATTTAATTGCATTAATTAATTTATTTTTTGAGTCGATACTTATTTGCATTTGTGGATATGTAAATTGTTCGGGTCGAAGGCTATTACATCAGTTCCACCTAGGGATTGAGCATAAAGCTAAGTGGTGTGTTGGTTAGCGATGACAAGTGAAGTGTACTGTTTCATAATAATTATAAATAAAAGTATATGATTATTATGAGTTATTTCACTATGTGCAATGAAGTTTTGATTACTTAATTTATGTTGAGTTGAACAAATGATGGATCAAATATATTTTGTTGAAAAGCTTGTGATTTATTGAAAAGCTTGTGGTTTGTTAAAAAACTTGTGATTTGAGTAGTATCTACTGTGCTACAGTTGTTGATAGTTTGACATGGCTTACATGTTGTTAAT